CTGAGTGTTCCCCACTTGAAGAGGCAGGCTGGGGAGAGTCCAGGGACACATCTCTTTAAGCAAGGAAAGCCTGGGGTGCTTTGGATTGTGGATTCCTTGGGTCCTTCACCATGCTAGGTGGTTTGATGACATCTGTTTCTACCCTTAATCCCCTTTCTCCTCCTTTTTAACTTGCATTGGCTGGTAATCAATGGAGGCATTAGCAGCAGTTGCTGTTGCAACCCATGGCTCTTCCATTTCCTCAGCTTCTCTAGCGACACTTGTCCATGTGATGGAACATGGGTATTTCTAATGAAGAGCCCTTCTAAGTTTCCCTCCATATTACTTTCTAGCATCTTCATCACCGTGGACCAGTACGTGCTTTGCCATTCCGTGATGTTGTCTTCTGCTAGAATTGCTCTTCGTACTGGGAATCTCTTTGTAAAAATCACATGACCCGTGGTGCAGATGATTTAAGATCTTCTTTGGTGACATCCATCCCTGTGAGTACAGGGACACTGGCTGAGTGCAGAGCCCTGGTGAAAAACACTTTTCACTTCCTAAGCATTTTTATTACAGGTGTTTGTTCTGATTTATGTGGAGAAGGATTTACATAACTTTTAGTAGTCAAGTGTTCCTTTCTAGTGCTTCTTCTTTGACTTCTGCTAAAGATCTTCCTTAGGGACCTGCGCAAATGCTTTTTTACCTTATATCTAAAGGCCATTTTTTTAATGTTCTGGTCTTTCCTTATTCATTAGTGACATTCTTTACTTTTCTCAAGCTAAACTGAGTATCCGTGATCTGTGCGTTCCCCGTTGACTCTGGCTGCAATAACTTATCATCAGTTTGGAATAAGTGGCTAAGTCATTTCTCTTCTCCTGCCATTGGAACTTTGGTAGTTGCTCCCTTTCTGTTTGAAGGAGAAAAGTGATATTATAATTAACCACCATTCATTTCAAGTCTTCTATCTTGTAAGTTTCCTTCATTAAGTACACAACCACCATTCCCCTTCATCTCCTAATGCTTCAGGAAGGAACTTCCAGTGGTTGAATATATGCACCTCCTATTTAACTTCTTTTCTTGCTTGCTTTCAACTTATGTACGACTTTCCTGATTTCCTTTGCACTGTATATTGGAATTTCAACTTAATTACAGCATCAATGGATGCAAATGTTCCTTGGGATATTCTCCCTCTCAGTAAAATCTCAAAACACAACATTTGTTTCAGATCACATGTTAATCCTCCTTTCTCATCAGTAATAGCATTGGATACAACATTATCCAAGTCTTTTGTTGAATCATTATGGGTCTGCAGACAGGATATTAGTTGTGTTCTCATCCTCTTGCTACTGTCGTAATAGTTCTTGTCATTTCTGCATAAAGGACTTGGTCTCAATCCACTTTTGTCTGTTATCAAAGACTTCCCTATTTACTTTGAAACCTAATGAAACCTCAGTTTCCCACATGGTGTGTCTTATGTGATTGGGTTTTACCAAATACATCTTCAGCAGCTGTAAGTAAAGTTACCATCTCTGAATCTCAAAGTAAATCTGTATTAAGCTCTCCATATTATAAGACTGTTGGTCAATTTTGTTACAAAGCCCAGGCTTTCTGTTTAAGCTATCTTCCACTATTTTTTTCTTTCCCTGATATTTTCTTTCTGTATTTTATCTTTGAGAATAGGCCTAAGTTGGCAAGTATGATACTGTGTGGGAACATGTTGTTTTGACAAGGTACCAGCCTTTGAGATTGGTTATATCTCTGGTTTTAGTCATTGTGCAACCTATTTTTATTGAATGACAATCTCTTTTGAATGTGATCATCATCAGCCGTCTCCTGGGAAACTGTGTGGACCGGTACCATAATACTGACTTTCTTACTAAGAAAAATGTGTTGTCTTCCTTCTTTTATCCAGATCCACAAACCCAGTAGTCTGTATCCTAAGTACATGTGCATGTATACGTCACCTCTCGTAAAGATTCCACCCATTGGATGAAAAGGCTGCTATAGTTCCCTCTACGGTTGTTAATTAATTAATCTTTTTCTATATGGAGCCAAAATGAATTGCTTTTTTTCCAATATCCAAGCTTTCGTTGTCCTCAGTCTGTCACTGAGTCTTCACTTGCAAACTTTTATTGAAAATAAACCCGTTTCCTTTTTTTTTTCTGGAATTACCCTAATCAGATCATTTAGATCAATGGCTATGAACATGTTCACTGTCTCTATTCATATCAGTACCTTGAAAAGCTATAAAAGCATTTTCTGTCTTCCTTTTTGCACATCATAGATCACTGTATCTCTGCCTACCTTCCTTGGTGCTACTGTGAGTTTATTACCCTACATATACTTCAGAGGGTTTAATGGTTTGTCTTTCATGTAACCATTGTTCCACTTACTCAGGTGACTAAGGCCATAATCTGTTGAAGGTTTCTACCTGTAGTGGCTTCTCTTTTATTCTAAATGTCCTCCTTTCCTTTTCCTTTGAGACCCCATTAAATGTTAAAGTCCATTAGATCCTTTCTCCAAATCCCAAATGGGCACTGGATAGTGGAGTAACCACACACTATACACTCCCCAGAACAGGATACAGAGCTCCCACACTAGCTCAAATGTTCTCCTTCCTAAGTGTCCTCCCTTGAGTCCCCATTAGAATATTTGAGTCTATTGAATCCTTAATCCAAGTCCCAATTGGGCACTGGATAGTAGAGGTGTGTGAAGTGGGCAGAGTTTGATTTGGATTTGGCCTGATTTGGGAGACAGTGACTCGATTCACTGATTCAGATCACTGTCCCAATTCAATTTGTCCTCATATGAAGATTTGATTCTGATTTGGAGCATCAGTGATTTGGCCATAGACACAGCTTTATATGTTTTTTCTACATACCTTGAGGTACCAGGTGCAGCTTATGAACGCTGAGATGGTGGGGTGGATGAAGCGTCCCACAGGAGCGCAGGTAGGCCCCACCGTGTGCTTGGTGGCGTGCCGGGAAGTGGACCGGAAGTATTTCCAAGCATATAAAGCTGTGTCTATAGCTGAATTGTTGAATCTCTCTGAATCGAATCAAAGGCTTCTGATTCGATTCAGAGAGATTTAATGGGTCTCCTGATTCGATTCGGATATGGAGATTTGACTGCTGAATCGGGCCAAATCTCCTCCAAATCGAATCAGCGACCGAACCTTTGCACAGCCCTACTGGATAGTGGAATAACCAGCCTCTATACACTCCCCAACACAGGATATCGAGGTCCCACACCAGACCTAATCTGCCGCATCCAGCAAGGAGAGATGGAGCTCTGGATCCGTGATGATGAAGAAGCTAGAGAAAGCTCGCTGTCTGAGGACTTGTCCCCAAGTGAGTCTTGAAAATCCCTGTCCTCTTCCCACCCACACCTCATCTGCGAACCTCCTAATACACCGGGGGAGCTGGAAACTTGAACACCTGCCTTGAGCTGCTGCCACAGTGTTTTAAAATTGCACAGCTTAGCCAGATCTGTGTTGTCCAGGCAGGTGTGTGCATGCACTCCTTGCAGTTCAGTGATGCAGGGACAGGCAACTGATCCCTTATTCTTCCCCTACTTAGGGCTTTTCAGGTAGGAAATCCGCCTTCAATCCTCACATCCTCCTCTCAGGAGGCATTTTGGCAAGGATTTCTGTCATGGATGGGAGGCGCTGCCCACTGGAAAGTACTAGAAGGCTAGGGACAAAGCCTAGCCTGTCTTGATTTGAGGCACAAATCTGTTATCTGGGGTACCGTGAGCTTAAGTTTCCATCTTCCCTCAGCAATGCAAGAGTTGATAGGCCAGCCCACAGTAGCCATACCTCTGTTATACTCTCTGACGGGGCATGATCTCGTTTGTATTGCTCCATGACACCTATCAGAATTGGCAGAAACCCTGTGGGTGCTATTAAGGATTGGGCTGCAGAGAGGCTGGTGCTCTGGTACCCACTGCTACTAGTCCCGTTGCTTAGTTTGAACTGGAACTCTGCTTCTCCTCTCTGGAACAGTTAGAGGAATAAAGCAGTATTTGGTCAATACCTCCAGCTGTCTGAAATGCCTGCTAGATGCAGTTGGGATTTGCAAGCTTTCATTCTTTGGGGAATACAAGCACTTCCTTGTTTCCACCAGAATTGTCCACGTTCTGCTCCATCACTAGGCACAAGGGATACAAGCAGTGAGACCAGAGACATAGAGTCCACATTGAATTGGACCCCTTGTTTTCACAGAGGTACCTGGGCCCAACCAGGGTCTGGGGCACATCCCAGCATGAAGGAATAGCAGATCTTTCCCTTTACCAGTTGGAGCAAGACTAATTTTTGGGGTCTCATCTCCTCCCAGCAAATGCTGAGTCACTGGGCAGAGCTGAGCAGCAGCAGTCTCATGAGGAAGGGCCTGCCAACCTGAAGCTGTTCAGGCTGGAAACCAGCTCCCCATCAAACAGGGACAGAGAACAGTGGAGATTGAAAGGAGCAGGGAAGAATTTGAAGGGCAGAAATACCTGAAGAGCTTCAAGGACATGGTTCCCTGCAGGCAGGGGTGCATATATGTGAAGAGCCCGGTGAGAGCTTTTGGGACAAAAAGGAACTCGGGAGCCCACAGGGGAACCACAGGGAGGGAAAATGTCTAGCTGTGTGCTGTGTGGGGACAGCTTCCACCATCCATGCCCTCTCCTTAGGCACCAGAGAATGCATTCAGTGGTGCACCCCCACCTCTACCCAGAGTGTGGGAAGAGCTTTATCTCGGTAAGCAACCTCCGAGTTCATGAGGTCATGCACATGTAGGAGCAGCTGTTCCGTTGTGCAAGAAGAGCTTCACCTGGTGCGATTACCTCCAAAGCCACACATGCATGTATGCATGGGAGAAGCCATTCTCCTTCCTGCATTTTGGAAGAGCTTCGCCAAGAGCTCCAAGCTCATGTAGCATCTGCACGTGCAAACAGGAGAAGCCTTTCTCCTGCAGCCACTGTGGGAAAATTTTTGCATAGATCTCCCATCTGACCAATCACCTGCGTGTTCATATAGACAAGAAACCGTTTTGCTGCAGCCAGTGCAGGAAGACCTTCAGGCAGAGCTCCAACCTTACCTATCACCTGCACAAGCACTTAGGGGAGAAACCCTTCCCCTGCAGCCACTGTGGGAAGAACTTCATGCAGAGCTCCCATTTCACCAGTCACTTGCAAAAAGCTGTACTCCTGCAGCTGGTGTAGGAAGAGGTTCACACTCAGCTCCCTACTCACCACACACGTGCGTGTGCACTTGGGGGAGAAACCATTTTCCTGCACCGTGTGAGAAGAGTTTGAGCAACAGCTCTGCACTTACTCAACACCTGCAGTTGCACATGGGTGAGAAACCATTTTCTTGCGCAGACTGCGGGAGGAGCTTCACAAAGAGCTGCAAACTCACAAGCCACCTGCATGTCCACAGCGAGGAGAAACCTTTTTCTTGCACTCACTGTGGAAAGACTTTCACCAAGAGATACTCCCTCGTACAACACCTCCATGTGCACATGGGGGGGAGAAGCCCTTCTGCAGCTGATGCGGGAAGAGCTTCATGTAGAGCTCCATACCTACCAGTCACTTGTGTGCACACAGGGGAAAAACCCTTCTCCTGCAGCTACTGCGGGAAGAGCTTTGTGTAGAGCTCTAACCTCACCAGTCACCTGTGCATGCACACAGGGGAGAAGCTGTTCTCCTGCAGCCAGTGTGGCAAAAGCTTCAGCAACAGGTCAGCGCTCACATATCACCTGCATGTGCACATGGGTGAAAAGCCATTCTCCTGTGACCAGTGTGGGAAGAGTTTCATAAGGAACTCCAAACTCACAAACCGTCTATGCATGCACATGGGGGAGAAGCTGTTCTCTTGCACCCAGTCTGAGAAGAGCTTCAGTGAGAGGTCAACACTTGTGAGTCACCTGCGTGTGCACACAGGGAAGAAACCGTTTTCCTGCACCCAGTGTGGGAAGAGCTTCGCGCAGATCTCCACACTAAGGCAGCACCTGCGCATACACACAAGGGAGAAACCGTTGTTTCCTAACCTTGTGCCAACTGCAGGATGGGTTTCATCGAGGGGTCCACACTTGCCAAACACCTATGCATGCACACAGGGGAGAAACATTCTCCTGCCCACAGTGTGGAAAGAGCTTTTCTGATAGCTCGACACTCACACGGCACCTGCGTGTGCACATAGGGGAGAAGCCATTCTCTTCTGGTTGGTGTGGAAAGAGCTTCACACAAAGCTCCAAGCTCACACAGCATCTGTGCTTGCACACAGAGAAGCCATTCTCCTGAAGCCAGTGCAGGAAGGACTTCATGCAGAGCTCCAACTTCATTAATCACTTGTGTGTGAACGCAAGAAAGAAACCATTCTCTTGCATCCAGTGGGAGAAGAACTGCACCAAAACTCATGAGCGTTAAGATCATCTATGTATGCATGTGAGGGAGAAACAATTTCCTTGTACCCAGGGTTAGAAGAACTTCACATAGAGCTCTGTGCTCAGGCCTGTGTGCACCTATATGTGCACACAGGCAAGAGGCAGTTCTGCCTGCAGAATTAGAAGAGCTTTCCTAGAGGCTGAAACTAGATGAAGAACCTGCGCCTGCATGCAAGGGAGACATTTTTTTTCTTGCCTGTGGTGTGGGAAAAGCTTCAGTGACACTTGCACATTCATCAACCACCAACAAAAGCACGCGAGGGAGAATCCATTCAGCTGCAGCCAGCGTGGAAAAAGTTTTGTACACATCTTCATGTTCACCAACCACCTGTGCCTGCACATGTGGGAGAAGCTGTTCTTCTGCACTCTGGGTGACAAGAGCCTCACCTACAAGTGGTTGCTTACCTAGCACCAGCGCATGCACAGAGGGGAGAGGCCATACTGCTGTGCCCAGTGTCAGTAGTGTTTGTGGGCGAGCTCTGCCCTGAGCAAGGACCAATGAGCCCATGGGAACAGGATTGTTATGCTGAATGCAGGGGACAGATTTCAGTTCCTGCTACACCTAGGCAGTGGGAGTGAGGGCCCTGCCCCTAGATAAGGGGCAGGCAAAATGCAGTCCACGGGCTGGATCCAGCCCACCAGGCCATTCTATCTGGCCCGCAGGGCTCCTCAAAAAATTTAGAAAATGAATATTTATTTGCCCTTGGCTGCCTGTCAAAGATGGCAGGAGCTAGGGGCAGTAGGACCCTGGAGGAGCTAGCAGCAGAACTAGGCAGACACAGCAAGTCCGGCCCCACCCTGCCACGCACCCCCAGCCAGAAGCCTCTGCCTTGGAGCTGTTCCTGCCTCCCCACCAAGGGACACAGAGATAAGAAGGAGTGGGGGGAGAGAGGCAGAGGAGGACCATGGGTGATTGCCCCAGGCCTCAGGGCTGGTCAGGCTGGCTCTTGCGGTCCCAGCACTGCAGCCGGGAACCACAATGTGCTAGAGCTGCCAGCTGGCTGGCGGGCAGGGAAATGGCTGCAGAAGGCAGGGGGAAGGGACAGCAAGTGGCACACGGAGTATAACAACAGCTGGGCGGGAGTGCGGGGCTGCGGAGGTGCACTGGGGCCAGCGCCAGCGGGGCCCAGAGTGGGATGGCAGGAGTGCGGGACCTAGGCTGGCAGGGGTCTATGGAGCCGGGTTGCACTGAGCCAGGAGGATGATGGGGGAGCTAGTCTGGCTCCATAGACAACTGCCAACCCAGGCCCCACAGTCCTGCTGCCCCGCTTCGGCTCCACCGGCACTAGCCCTGGTACACCAGCGTGGCACTGCACAACTGCCTGGCTGTTGATATGCGCTGCACGCCTGCTCATTGCCCCTTCCCCCCCAACCTGACACAGACATTTCCCTGCTCCCCCCAACCCTGCCTGCTGGCCAGCTGGCCACTCCAGCTCCACGCAGTTCCCAGCTGCAGCACTGGGATTGCTGGAGCACTTGGGACATGGACCAGTGAGTCAGGATCAGAGGGACGGGGAAACGGCAGAAGGGCAGCAGTGGCAGATGGGGGAAGTGGCAGCGAGTGGGAGCATGGGGCCACACCGGTGCCCTGGGGCCAGGAGCAACAGGAGCGCAGCACCCGGGCCTGGAGAAGTGCTACCCTACACTCCCTACATGTTGCCTATGGGGAAAAGGAAGAGGAAGTTTGGGACTGGAGGAAAGGGAAGAGAGTAGCTTGCACATGGAACCTGGTCAGCCCTACACTAAGGAGTGAGGGGTGTCAGCAGGGCTGCAGGCTGGGAGTGAGGGGCAGGGCTGCAAGTTAGGATTGAGGGGCACTGAAGTGGTTGGGGGAAACAAAGGAGGGGGCAGGTTGTACCAGATTGAGGCAAGGGTTTGCAGGTTGGAAGTGAAGGGAACCAGCAGCTTGGACCACACTGTAGGGGCTTTGAGGCCCTGGAGAGGTGCTCTGAAATCCAGCCCATTCCCTGTTCCCTGTGTTAGGGCAGGACCCCCACGTGGCCCCTCGGTGTGGAAGAGGCCGAGGGGGCTGGGGCTGGCTGAGGAGCTGTGGATCTGCAGTGGTGGGTCATGGTTCTGGCTCCCCCATCACATGATAAAACCCTGTCGTCTCCTTCCCGCAGGCAGCCAGGAGCCAGGACCCTGCCAACAGGCCTCGCATGTGAGGGGCGGGAGAGTGAGAACACAGGGCCAGGCTGGGGTGAGGCAGAGAACTTGGTTGCTGAGCGGGACCCAAAATCAGCCTTAGGTCTCTTCTTCCCAGTGCTGCTGCAGCATCCAGCGATGATGGAGGAGCAGGACCCAGCTGGGTCTAGGGTTGGGGCAGGAGCTGAGAGGGCAGGGAAAGCCCCTCGTGCTGTCCGGGCCAGGACAGGCAGAGCATCCCTGAGATGGGCAACACCACTACAGGTCAAGCAGGAGCTTCTGGAGGAGCCCATAAAGCACTGGCAGGTGAGTGTCTCTGCTTTGGCTGTGTCATCAGAAAGGGCACTGGTGTCAGCCACAAATGCCTGAGGTGTCTGCTCCCAGGCAGCCAAGGGGTCCTGGGAGGTTTGCAGCTTCCTGCGGGAGCTCTGCCAGTGCTGGCTGGAGCCCCAGCGCTGCAGGAAGGAGCAGATGCTGGAGCTCCTTGTACTAGAGCAGTTTCTGGACATCCTGCGCCAGGAGATACCAAGCTGGGAGTGCGGACACAGTGTAAAAACCTGTGCCAAGGTGATGACCCTGGCTGAGGGGTTTTGGCTGGGGCTGGCAAAGGGATGCTCCAGGTAAGAGCATTTCACTCTGGTCGTCAATACTACCTCCTCATCTGCAGGTGTCTGGGGATACACTCTCACAGCCTCAACTCCCAGCAATGTGGTTGTCTTGTTCCCAGGTTACGGTACGCAGGCAGGTCGAGGACATGGCCGCGGACATGCAGGGACCCGGGGCATCAAGGGAACCTTTCTATTCCTGGCTGGAGCGGCCTCAGCTCCATCCTGGGAATGTGCCCCTGGAGGAGGCAGGATGGGGTGAAGCCCCAGAGCCCCAGGAGCTGCCTTGTGTCCTCAAAGAGGAGCCCCTGCCCTATGAGGAGCCAGGTAATGTGCCAGGGGCCTGGGTAGAGGTACGGTGGGGCCCGGATACTGGTGTCTGCCTGGCTGTTCAACCCCTGGTGCAAGGGGCTGGGATCTCTCGCTGTGAATCTGTGTGGTGACAGAGCCTCGATCTCTGTCTGCAGGCAGCTCCAGCATGACAGGACAGCAATACCCAGTGGAAAGATCCTTTATCTTTGTTGTGTTTTTATCCTGAAACCTGGGATTAGGGAACCAGTGGGTTGTTGAGAGAGAAAATGCTCCAGAAGCAGGAGTTTTTTCTGGATTCATGTAGGTTTATTCAGCAGCCAGCATGCACTCTTGTACCTAGACATACCCTAGTCACCTTGCCAGCAAATCTTGCTCCCATGTCCTGTTGATCAGACAGGCCAGGATTTCACTGGGACATTCAGGGACATGGTCTAGTAGCCCAGCATACTAGTAGTCCAACACTGCTTTGTTTCCAAACCATTCTATGCGTTCTGTTACTTGCATATCTGTCATTTCCCCTTGACAATTGATGCTGTTCCTGGCCATTTACAGGTTATTTGCATAACTTAGTTTTCACCTTTGGGTATTTATCTAAACCCCTTTCTGCATAAATGTACCCAGACTGTCAGGTTTTCCTTTTCATGCTTCTCTCTTTTTGCACATAGAATCATAGAAAATTAGGGTTGGAAGGGACCTCACGAAGTCAAGTAGTCCACCCCTCTGCTTAAGCCAGGACCATCCCTAACTAGATCATCCCAGCCAAGGCTTTGTCTACTGTGGTCTTAAAAACCTCCAAGAATAGATACTCTACATCCTGTCTGGGTAGCTTGTTCCAGTATTTTATTACCTTCCTAGTGAGAGTTTTTCTCAATACCTAACCTAAACTCCCCTTGATGCAACTTGAGACCATTGTTCCTTGTTCTGTCATCTGCCACCACAGAGTACAGTCCAGCTCCATCCTTTGTGGAACCACCCTTCAAGGGAGCTGAAGGCTGCTAGTCAATCCCCCCTTAGTATTCTCTTCTCTAGACTAAATCATCCCAGTTCTCACAGCCTCTTATCAGAAGTCATGTGCCTCAGCCCCCTAAACATTTTTGTTGCCCTCCACTGGACTCTCCACTTTGTCCACATCCTTTCTGTAGTGGAGAGCCAAAACTGGTCACAGTGGCGAGTAGAGGGGAAGGATCATTTCCTTCTGTCTGCTAGCATCACTCTACTAATGCAGCCCAGGATGCTGGTAGCCTTCCTTGTGACAAGGGCACATCTTCTTGCTGTCCTTGGCGATGTTTCCACTTGGACAAAACTTGCAGTGACTTTGCTCAGTTTTAACCAGCTAGTAGTTTTTTTGGCAAGCTTGGTGACTATGCGCGGCCTCATGGGAGCAGACACGGGCAGTTTTTGTGGTTACATTGAATGCTGCTATGATCATTTTCAGTGCTGGAGACCCAGTCACTTTTGTCATACCCTCCATGAGCCCTCTGTGCTCAGGAATAGGCTGGTGCAGGTGTGCGGTCAATGGGTTTTCCTAGTGACTTTGGGCTGGTTTTTATTTACAGTTAACCTCAGACCTCTGTCCTGTTGCAGATTCCCCCGACACAGAAGAGACCTGGGACTCATCAGAAGATGAAGGTTCCTTGGGCTGTTTCTCCAAACGAGGGCTTTCACTTGGGACAGGTAAGATGTGCTCATTCTGCCCTTTCTAGCAGCAGGCGGCACCTCCTGTCATAGAAAAGTCTTGTCTGCTCAAGTGTTTTGTTGGGGATCGATTCAACATGTTGCTTGTTCTCTTGCCATCCACCTAGAAGCCACCCTCAGCCCCTGGAGGAAGTGACCTGTTTGTTCCCTCCGCATCCTCTGCAATGTGGATCATGATGCAGCACCAGGTTCCCCGTCATGTCTCCCACAAGGAGTGATGTCCATCATTGCCTCTCCCAGCAAGGGCAGAGTCAGAGTGGCTCATCTCTAGCTTCATTGCTGTGGAGATCTATTAGAAGGGCCTTGCTACACATTCAAATGAAAGTTGGATAGAAATCAGCTATAGAGTTGTTACACATTTTCCAACACTAATTTTGCAGCTGGTTGGCTCTCTTGATAGCTGGGTAGTCATTTTTAACACATGTTAATGACTTTGCATGTGTGACTGGTCTAAATTTATAGCGCAATTCAACAGTTAATGGTGTGAGAGTTTCTCTGCTCTTGTGGCCGGTCTTGCTTTGCACATGTAGCCAATCTATATTTGTTGGAGATTCACCAGTTGATTCTGTAATATATGTAATGTGTAGCAGTTGTCTTTATAAGACTTGTGGGATTTGATTCTTACATCTCTCCTCTCCCATACACTGAGGCATGGGGGACGACTTGGCATATGCCAGCACATGGGAATAGAAGGGCTTTTGCCTTTACCAGGAGCACCAGGGCTAATCTGTGTCATCATCACTGTCCTTGTCAGGTGTTATTGATGTGTTGCATGTATTGAAAGTCCTTGCCACACATTACATATATTAAACAATTTACTAGTCAGTTGTGTAATGTAAACCAGCAACAAGAGCAAAGTAATTATCACACAATTCACTGGCTAATTGCATAATAAATTTAGACTGGCCACATATGGAAGTAACTATGACACCATAAAAATGCCCGTCCAGCTATAAAAAGTGCCAACCGGCTGCGAAGTTAGCACTTGAAATTGTGTAACAACTTTTTGACTGCTTTCTATCTAGCTTGAATTTGAACATGCGGCAGGGCTTGAAGTCTCAGGGACTGTCGAGCTGGCAAAAAATCACTAACAGGAGATCCCTACATCAATCTTGACTTAAAGAATGACCACAGGCTCAGTTTGGTGGCAAAAGCTTGGCCAGGTTTATTGTCTACAAGGTGTGGCCCTAATGCAAGTGGTCTGATGGACAAGATGTTAATGCACATATGCCCATGACAAGGCATTGGCACAGCACCACGCGGGCTCCCCTAGGACAATACAAAGTTTCCTTCATTTCTATTTCTCCTTGAATACAGTGATCAAAAGACATATATGTTACACTCCACCAATAACTTGACTATCTTGAGCCATCCTGTGCCATGGGCTTGCTCCACGTCGTGACCTGGGGGTTCCCATTCCAGCCTTATCATTGTGGTATTCCACCGTGTGGTACTCCACACTGTTCTCCACCTTGTACAGCCCTCTCCCGCTCTGGCCCACATGCCAGGTTTTGCTTATGTGAAGAGTTCAGGCATCGGCCAACTTTGCTGATCAAGCCCACTGCGGCCAATACTTTAGCAAAGCTTTTGTATGAGCAGTATGTATATATTGATGGATGTTCCAGCGAGGCCTATGACCTGTGGATGCTCTTCCCTTCCCAGCAGGTGCAGGGAGCCTGAGCACAGCTGAGGAGCAGCCTCCTGAAGAAGGACCTGTAAACCCAAAGCTGCTGAGTCCATCCCCAGGAAGATCAGGAGAGAGAGGACCTGGACCAGGCCAAGTGTATGAGAAGCAGGGGAGGTGTCCACAGCAGAGGGAGAACATGGCTGTGAACAAGGTAAAAGTTGCAGTGGGGTGTCAGCATGGTGCCAGGGCACCGGCTACCAAGAGTTGGGGGAGTGGGGAAGAGCCAGAGGAGCGGAGAGACCTGAATAGCCACAAAAAGAAGCTCCAGGAAGAGAGGCTGCATCCAAATGGTGCCAGCAGGGAGGGCCTGAGGGGAAGCAGGAGCTCATTGCCAAGTACAGATTGGCTGGGACAAGGACTGCTGCCGTCAGCATCTGTGGGTCCAGCACTTCCTGCCTCTACAAGTGCTACTTCAGCTTCCTCTGAGGGGTGTTTCAAGAGAGGATTTTAAGACCTGGGTCCCAGGGGAGAGCCCCTCTAGCTACTCCGTTGTATCCAGCAATCATCAGGGAGCATGGGGTATGGGTCTCCTCTGCTAAGCCCACCAGGTTCCCCCTGAGAAGTGTGGAGGGGCTCTGCACCCAAGTCCAGCAGGGTCCCTCTAGCCCAGCCAGTGCCAGGGCAGGATGAAGAGCTGGAGTTTGCTAAGAATGAGCAATATTCTTGAGTCCTGGAGGAAAAGTCATAATCAGCCTGCGAGAACAGGAAATGAATCCCTGTCTCCTTGCACAAGTATCTGGCTGGGATCAAGGACACATTCCCATAGTTGCTTGTATCTAGAAGAGCCCTCTCCAAGCAAACAGGCGTGACTTGTGCCCAAGGAAAATGGACACTGATCTGGGGAGCTGTAAGATCATTGTCTCTGTGCGTGGAGTTGGAGGCTGAGTTTACATTGAGTCCTGCTTCTTTCATCCCAGCCCAGACCATTGGGAATCCTCATCTCCCCCTTCCTGACTCTACTCTTCCCCCTTCCTGACTCTCCTCTTTCCCCTGCCATTCATTTTTGCTCCATGGCTGGGCGCAACAGGGTTGGCTGCAGCAGCTGCAGATCATGTAGGATGCTAACAGGGAGGTTCACTGCATCTTGCAGGGGGCGGTAAATCTGGGATTTGGGGCCTGCAAAACTTCCTACCTGAGAGCCTCATGGGGAAAAGAGAAGACTCCTGACGCCACCAACACTCTGTTTCCTGGGCAGTGTCTGGTGGAGAAGGGTGATTTCCCAGGGTCCCATTCCTAGGTAGGGTGTTCTCCCTGTGAGTTACTGCTGTGAAAACAGGTTCCCCATTGGAGACTCGGGGCACCTGGACTGCAGTCTCTGCTGGGGTTGTTCGGATGGCACAGCTAATAAAGAGAATAATTCGAGAATAAAGAGAAGAGCTGTGCTGACTCCCTGGATGACCCGAGCTAAAGCAGACAAACACGCTGCCTTGTCTGTAGAGGTGTATTCATCCCAGGCCCTGTGCTGGAGCAGCTGCATCACCTGAGGAGTAAGGGTCAGGTTTGAGGAGGATGAAGCAGGAGATGCTGATGGTGTAATGCTTGTGACTGCAGCTTCAGGTGGCCTTTGAGGATGTGGCTGTGTATTTCATGCGGGAGGAGTGGGAGCTGCTAGAAGCTGGAGACAACAGGCTTTACCAGATGCGGAGTCATTAACAAGCCATTTATTCTTTGGGAAATGTTCTGGTTTTCTTTTCCCAGCGAATCCACACGAGGGAGAAGCCGTTCTCCTGCACCCACTGCGGGAAGGGCTTCATTGAGAAGTCTAATCTTACCAGGCACCAGCGCGTGCACACAGGGGAGAAGCCATTCTGCTGCACACAGTGCGGGAAGAGGTTCAGCCACAGCTCCACACTCACCAACCACCTGCGCCTGCACACGGGGGAGAAGCCGTTCTACTGTGCCCACTGTGGGAAGGGCTTCACCGACAGGTCTAATCTCAACAATCACCGGCGTGTGCACACGGGGGAGAAGCCATTCTCTTGCACCCAGTGTGAGAAGAGCTTCACCCACAGTTCTTCGCTCACCAAGCACCGACGCGTGCACACAGGGGAGATGCCATACCGCTGTACCCAATGCCAGAAGTGTTTCCGGCAGAGATCTTCCCTGAGCAGGCACCAGAAGACCCATGGGAGTAGGATCATCGCACTGAAAAGGGGGCAGTTACCCTCACCCCCACTGCCCAGGGAGGATGAGGGACTTTTCCCCTGACTATAACACCGCAAACTCCTGCCTGCTTTCATGTGGCGTGTCCTACATGAGTAGCTTCTGGTGGCAGCTGGGACAGAAAAAAACAACAGGTTAGAGCTAAGTGATGGAGCCAGGTAACAGAAAGGATAAAAACGGGGGAAACACAACTGACATTGCCCTGAAAAAAGACATCCTTTCTTGAACCAACCAATCCTAAGCTACTACCTGTGGTAGCAAGGGTGATCCCTTCCTCTTCCTTCCTGTGGCATCTGGGACATCACCGTTGTCATCAGTTTTTTAATATCCTTGACTATCTTGTGTAGTTCTACATCAACCAAGCAGGGCCCCTGCTCCTGTAAGATAACCAGTTTGGATAAGACAATAAAGTAAATATTGAAGAATCAGTTCTCAATTGCTTTGTCTGAGGGAACTCTCAGGATGCCTCTGTTGTTCATTACTTTGCTTATTACATGTCAGGACAGGCCAGGCTATCAAGAAACTCTTTTTTTGGTGGGGAGCAGCACATCAGGAGTTAACTGTCTCACTGTTCTAAGGAGACCTAGCCTTTGGCTCCCATGATGGAAACACCACCACAGCCACCATCCCCCTTCATAGTCCTGACCTAACCTGGGTGTGACTGCAGAGGGGCTCTTGTTCTATGCACAAAGGATTCCCCATCTCAATACCCCTGCAACCCAGCCCCAGTTGTATGCATCAGCCAGGATGAGCCCTTTGACTCCTGGGTCTGAGACCATGTCCTGGTTTTCAGCATCACTTGCTGTCCCCATGGCACCACCAGTGAGCTCCCACTGGCTCTGTCCCATAAGGCAAGGAATGCCACCCAGGGAAGTGCAGCGAGACAGACCACATCCCTAGTGCCAGCCAGCATGTGCTGGTCAGCTGGAACAGTGCACACAGCCCTGGGGTCGGCAGTCAGGCTTTGCAGAGTCCAGGGCAACAGGCCAGCAGATTGAGAGGCCATGTCCTTTTGGGGTCCAGCTTGCCCCTGTCCTCTAGGGCCCAGCTGTGTCTGTCCCTTTCCTGACCCAGTTCCTCACATTGATTTCCCTGGATCCACGCCCTTGGTGCACCCATGCAGACAGTCCCCGATCTTTGAGGCTCCTGTGTGTGCAAGGGTTCCTTCTGGAGGGGAACAGCCCCAGGAGCATTCTTGGCAGCCTTTTGTCCGCAGCTAATGCACTTTCCATCCTTCATCTGCCCAGGCTAAATAAGTTCTTTCCAGGTTAGACTAAGACCAGCCAGCACACACAAAAGGTCTCCTTGACCTTCACCCCTGTGGCACAGGAGAGCAGGGCTCAGGGCAGGTGCTGCTTTTGGCTCAGGGGTGAACATGTCAGAGAGGAGGCAGTCTGCCACCTGGCTTGGGTCAAAGAGGAGGTCAGAGTCTGCTACCAAGGTTGGAGTTTATGCCTAGGCCTTTGAGTGTCTTCTAACAACATGTTTTAACCTTTCCTTGCTTTCTTCCAACCACATCAAGCTTGTCCTGCCAGCTGGACTGACTCCAGGACAGCTTGCCCTCCAAGCCAGGGCATGGCCCTGTCTTCTCTCACCTGGTACCTGTCCACAGCCTCCCAGTTCCAGGCAGGTATAAAACAATTATAGCACTTTGCTGACCTCATCCCACCTGCCCCTCAATTAAAAGGAGCAGAAACCAGTTGGGGAGAAGGGACCTGTAACTGAGGGGTCTCCAGGGAAATCAGAGATGGCTAGATCATCTGGGTCTTTAAGGTGATGCTGATTCTTCCAGCAAGACTATGAGAGAGTCTGAAAGCAAATCAGCAGACCCAGCTAGAAAGCCTGAATCACATGGCTGTTAATGTAGGTCAGGAGTAACAAACACTGACTTTCCTCTCTGAAATCTTCTAATTTTACAAAGAAATGCTCTCTTAGCTGCTTTTAGCAACTCTTGTGTCATAAGGACACAAACTGATGTGATGGGAGGGACCAGGGGGCTTGTGGGTGACCTATGAGGATTAGGGAA